CAGAAGTGGGAATGGGATAGAGATGGGAGGGGGAGAGAGGGAGAGACAGGAGAGAGAGAGAGAGAGAGAGAGAGAGAGAGAGAGAGATAAAAACAAAGTCAGAAAGGAAAAAAGTACCCAGCACAAGTTGAACACACAAGAAACCTAACCAGCCGAAACAACAGAGTTGAAAGTTGTGGGGAGAAGATTGTTTTAAAATCTTAAATGGCACAGGGAGACCCAAGAGTAGCATTTAGAGGAGGCAGAGGAGACGGTGAGGCCCGGGCTGGAGGGGGCGCAGGGAGGCCCCGCTCCCGCCGGAGGCTGCAGAGCCGAAGCGAGCCAACCCGGGAGAAGTGGAGAGAGCGCGAGGAGGAAGCCCCGATCCCACCCCTAACCCCCCTCCGCCTCCGCTGGAGGACCCAATAAATCAAAAGGCGAAATGAAACAAAATAAAAAGGAAGAAAAATGCTAATAAGCAGGACGAGGACGCAGAGGGCCAGGGAAGACTAGGGCCAGTGCCTCCCCGGGGGGCAGGGAGCCGAGGGTAGGGAGGAAGAACGTGAAAGTTACCAGAAACATTATTTAGCCGCGGATTCCCTGCGTCCTTGTCAATTTCAGAGACAAAACAAGCAGCCCAGGCTAGTCTAGGCGGAGGCGCAGCGGCTGCGACAGCGCGGCCCCAGAGGCGGCCCCGGCGGCGGCTCCTACGCAGCCCGCGCCCGCCTGGAGCCGCGGGAGCGGCGGCGCGGCAGAGGCGGCGAGAGAACCGGGGGGATCGCGCTGCTGGGGTAAAAGCTGGAGCGAGGCGAAAGCGTGTAACAATTGCACACGCACGCACACACTCAGCACTCACACGCTCTCGCCGCCCTCCCGCTCGCACAGCGCTGGAACACGCGCGCCCAGACACGCACACACGCACGCACACACACTCGCACACACGCAGAGGCACGAGGGGGAAAGAAGCCGATGAATAATTTTGCTGCTATTTTTTAAAATACTGGCCGCCATCACCAAGCAGCGAACAGCAGCGGCGGCGAGGGAGAGGAGGCGTGGGGCAGGCCCCTCTTAGAGAGGATTTATATCTAGGTAAGTGCCGGGGATTTAAACCTACCCTTTGCGCCATCAGTCTGCGCTCCAATAAACTCCTGGATGTGTCGTATATTTAATATCCCAGTCCGGATAAGAAAGTGATCTAGGCTGAAGATTCCTTTTTTTTTTCTGATATTTAGAAATTTAAATCATTTTATCATTTTTTCTTTTTTTTTTTTTTTTTTTTTTTTTTTCCAAACCAAGGAGACTTCTCCCAATTCTCCAATATGTTAATTTTAGGGGGGGAAGCCCAGGCAAGACAACGAAGAGGTTTTGTTTTTTTTTTTCCTGTGATATTTCTTCTTTTTCTTTTTTCTCTTCTTCCTCCTCCTCCTGATCTTCCTCCTCCTCCTCCACCTCCTCCCCCCTCCCCGCCTCCCCCTCTTCGGTGCTCCTTTCCCCCTCTTTCTCTTCTCTTCCTCTCAGTTGGAAAAAAAAAAAAAAAAAAAAAAAAGAAAAAAGAAAGAAAGAAAAGAAAAAGAAGAAAAAGAAGAAAAAAATTGTCAAGCCCCCGAACTGAAGGTTACGAGCGGCCCGTCAGCAGCCCACATGTAACCGAACTGTCGTGTTGCATGGCTTTTTGCCACTCCAGATGTCAATCAAAGCCCGGAATGTCAAGGTAGTGAATGAATGATGGTTGATGATGATGAAGAGGAGGAATCTTTCAGACCCGTTTTTTTTTTTTTTCTTCCAGTAAAACTCCACGAGGGGTTTCTGCTTCTTGAATTTTTTCTTCCCCCCTCCCCCCTTTTAGGTTTGCCCCCGCGGTATCGCTAATAGGATCCTCTCTCTTTAAAGTATTGTTCAAAAAAAGCGGGGAGAAAAATCAAGAAAAAACCGAATAGTTTGCAAAAATTGGACTTCCTCCCCCCCTTTCCCGTAGGTATTTTGTCTCTCCCTCTCGCGCGCGCTCGCTCGCTCGCTCTCACTCGCGCTCGCTCTCTCTCGCTCGCTCTCTTGCGCTCTCTTTCTCTCTGGGAGATGAGTGAGTGTCAGTAGGTGTTGGCAGGTTGGCGGCTGCCGGGCTTATAGAAGAGCCTCAGTTGGGCGGCGCGGGTCGGCGGCGGGAGAACGAAATGACGGAACCCGGAAGTCGTGGTGGCCATAGCCCGTGGCGCGGCGGAGACGCATCCCGGGAGCGGGGAGCGGGAGCGAGGAGGAGCGCGCGGCGCGGAGCCTCTGATGTGCGGCGAGTGCGATCGGACGGCCCCGGCCGGGGAGGCGGGCGCCGGGGGGAGGGGAGGCTGGGGCCGCGCCGGCGAGCAAA